AACATCGTAGATCAACTTGTTGAACAAGAAGAGTCATTAACAGTTGTGCAACAGGAAGCCTTAAAAACTCTAATGCAAGAAGCCCATAAGAAGAAAGAAGACTTTGATTCTTATTTTCATCAAATTGTAAGTACGTCAAGTGAAGATGATTTAAACATTGAAACTTTAGCTGAAGATGAGGACCAGATCAGTGAACTATTCATCCACATCACCAGCTACCTTAAGGTGGTGCTTTCAGAAATTGGTTCTTCTAACCCTTATTTGGCCAAGGTTAATTGCAGTCCAGCTCAACCTCAGAGAACAACTGCAATGAATGTAACCAACCCGAACTCATCAAGTCCAGCTTAACTTCAGAGAACCACTGCAATGAATGTAACCAACCCGAACTCATCAAGTCCAGCTCAACCTCAGAGAACCACTGCAATGAATGTAACCAAACCGAACTCATCAAGTCCAGCTCAACCTCAGAGAACCACTGCAATGAATGTAACCAAACCAAACCCATCAAGTGAGTTTCAAACCAAAGGCATCCAGCTTATACAACCTGAAAAAAACTCATCACGAGGTTGGTGGCAAACACTATGCATAAGTTTGCAAACTCGAAAATTAGAAATACCACAGTGTCAGTGACAAAACCTCAACCGATGAATACAGACACAACAGTGAGCTCAACTACATTGACAAGTGACAGTGCTACTATCCATCCTACCAACACTGCTGTCATACCAAGTGACCGTAGTGTTATAAACCCTACTGATAAAACTGTCACCCATCCTACTGACCGGGTTGCTATCCAAACGACAGACAGTGCTGCCGTTAACCCAACCCACAGTGCAACCACTACAGTAAAGACAATCAAGCAATCCAGTCAAGTGGTTATATCATCCGATGGAGCTCTGACCAATAGCTACTCTTCATCACAAACTACAGAGGAAGCGCTCATCCTCCAATCTCAACTTGTTGACAAATTACTGAAACAAGAGTGCTTTGAATTGAAGAAATGTGTTATGAACTGTCAAGACTTGTTCACTTCTGTTACTCAATCTCATCATAAAACACCAAAGTTCCTTCAAAACTCTGGTGCTCAACATTTCAAAGAGCTAGGACTTCGGTGGTCTCCAGCAACAGTTTTTAAGGTGTTTCCCAGCAAAGATGGTATAGGTTGAAAAGGAGAAGTAGAAAAATGCAAACAGCTGCTATAGCCGGCCTAAAACAAACTTTTTGTGTTAGGTAATGTGTTTTTCCTACAGTTACCTAACAATGTACATGTTCTCTCACTGATTTGAGAAAGCAAAGTGGCCAATTCGCTCATCAGTCAAACAATGTTAACATTGTCTCACTCTAATTACTTTGTCTCACTCCAGATTTGCAACGTGAAGGCACGAAATAGTGAGCGCGTAACATGCAGTCAACGTCGTATGCGCGCGAAATACGTTGGCAGCACTGGCTGTAAATCAGCTGGTCAGCTGTTGTAGCCTACTGTTGTATTTGTCACTTCGCATTAAATGTTATGTTAAAAGTTCACTTCTGTGTAAAAATAGGTTATGTTTCTTCACCAATTTATTTGTTTTATGGTAACTGTAGGAAAAGTATAATGTGCAACTCGAGTTCAAAGTACAATTGCCTCACTCGAGAAACCATTCCTCACTCGCCTACGGCTCGTGAGTAAGGATTTCTCTCGAGTGAGTCAATTGCTCACTTTTCTCACTAGTTGCACAAATAACTATTGTTATAAACTAACTGTTGAAGTGAGGACACTTCAAAGCCGGGAGTATGTTCAGTTCTTTTAGATAATTTTTCCTACTAGCCTTCACATTTAATATTAAAATCAACAGCTGATCATTGTAAATCTAAAATTCCTAATATTGTAAAAATAAAGATTCCTTTCTGTTCTTCTTGTAAACATGGTTTACTATTTTTTTCTCTCTTAATATTTCATTAACACTCACAAACACTCATAATACATATTGCATATCAAAATATAAGTTTTAATATTTGAGATTCTTCTTTGACACACCACTAATTAATTTACTACCATACTCTTTTTATTTTGTATAATTTCAATTTTTGTTTGTTGATTGACTTTTATTCATGTTTATCAAGATACAAAACTCAAGATTTGAGGACCTAGATTTTTATGTATAGAGAACATATTATTCTATCAGGGGATCAAGGAAAAACACATACTCTTAAAGGAAAGTTGGTAAAACTCACAAAAACAGATATCGTGAAGCTCCCTGTAAAGGTGCAAAATTGTCATTGGACCACCAAAGATCCAGGTTATACAGGAACATGTGTCAACTTGGCTATTTTATCAAACATTTCCCACCATGATGTCACCAGTTTAAGGTCATTTCCACTTAAAAGTGTTAGCACAATAGACGGTTTACAAAATCACTGCAGAGATAGAGGGACTGCTATTTCAGCTGATGTTTGAACTGTTGTTTTTACTATGCCTACCCTGTTGTCAAAATGAGAAACACAAGAGGGAAGGGGCTGAAGATCAACTGGTTATGTGAAAAATGAGAGAAAGGATATTGTGAAGAGCGTACTACTGGTATTGTCTACTGTACAGAATATGGGCACAAAATATGGAGCCCATGTTCTCAAGACTCTTGGTTCTTGGTTTCCAAAGTGTTACTTCAATTAGATCAACCCAAAACAGGAGGATAGATAGCTTGGTAGACATATTGTTAGAAATCTGCTTTCCCCGATAACTGTGACAAGTTATCACGATGTGAGTTGTTAAAGAATGAATCAATGCAACTCCTTCGGGAGAAAGTAAGCCTATTCTCTATAAATACTTGTACATTCTGATAATCCTTATAAGAAGTGCAAAGATAAACTTGGCTCTTTTCAAATGGGAGGTGCCAGCTAGATGCTCCTTTGACTAATCCTTCATCATAATATACATAAGTGAATAAAGCTTCACATTTGACTGTCAACCCTTTGAATAAAAATGGCCTTTAAACATTTTAAATTTAAATGAAGGTACCATCTCTTAAGCCAATTTAGTAAACCTTATCCAATATGTTCATGTTGGAATATGTTTTGTAGGTAATGTTGTCGTGAGGAAACATTTGACTGTAAAGCTTCAATTCATTGTGACGAGTAATTATTTCACTGACATATTTTAGCATATCTTAAGAACAATAAAACAATCCAAACTATGTTACTAAATAGTTCAGCCTGTTGGATGATTTCATCCTATTTATGATTTTACATCATTTTACTTAAATATAGTACCTATATAATATTTACCCAACGTGAGGTCGAAAATATTGCATTCAACTAAGTTGCTTATTTCTAAGTAAATACGTATACTTATTTAATTTGCCGATAATAATGATTGTACAAGTATTTCAGTTGTAAATATTGATGATACATATGGTCAATAATGAAACAAATTAACAAAATAGCATTAATCATAACCTTTTTGTAATTAGTATAAAAGTGTTACTTGTTATGCTAGTTTGATATGTGTTCTTGAATTAGGTTTAGTAACCTTTACAATTTAAACATTTTTTATAATTAAAAATGATTCTATAATAAAAGCGAGTAGTTTCTAGATTGTGTGTGCTACACAGAGAGACGCCAATTTGTATTGCAATTGTAATAAACACAGTTTATTATATAAATATACAAATTTGATAAAACAAAATGTTTCTCATACCCATTTAAAAATAAATTGTTGTAGTATATTATAACAACTTAGTTATAAATTTTTTAGCAACAAACACAACTTCCTAAACATTAAATATTGTGAAAACTTGTCTGCAATAGTCCCTCAAATACTAAGAATAAGAATGAGGATAACAACATTTTATTTTCTCCATCAATTTTACAATATTTACAATAGCAATTGACTATAAACACAAGTAGAAAGTTTTGTATTCACAACCACTCTAAAGAGATTCAACGTAGTTACTGTATAAAAAATATTAATTGCTAACCATTTTCAAATATTATATATTTTTGAAATGCTGTGAAAGAGTTACATATAACAAACCAAAATAGGTCTTTACTCTTTTAACACTTTTACCATGGATTAATTAAATAATTATATTTGTTATTCGAACTATCAATAACTATTAGTTCATCTATGCTTTTACTGAGTACACCATATGTATGTCCCAATAGGTTTACATAGTACAATAATTTGTAATATAGCCTATATAGTAGGACTAGTATTTGATAACCTTTCAGTGACATGTGGTCATGGGGACTAATTATCAACCCCTAAATCGATATAGAGGAAGCTTATATCAGACCATGTACAAATAATCATTCTTCAACAAAATAATAATACTTCTCAAATATAGCAGTCTTACTTTTAATTCGGTAAGTTTTGAGGTTGATTTGGCACAGCTAATTAATATCACTTTTCACCTAAAACTTGAACTGGTCTGAAAATTAACCAAAGTGGTTTCATTTTATGCTAACAATACTAAATATAAAATGTACAGTTTGAGCATACAAATTGATTCATGTCGAAAGCAAAGTATTTACACATACAGTTCATACCCCTTCCCCCATATGCCCCCCTCCTTGTCCCTTTTGTTTGTTCATACAGTTTTCATATTAGATACACTCTTATTGACCAAAATTCATGAAAAGGGTGTATTTATAGGGTGAATACAAATTTTAAAAGCTTAAAAAATTATATAAAATTTTATCTACTTACTTTATTGTGAGTTATAAATTGGAAATGTGCCAACCAATTAATTTACTGGTTCTACTACAGTAGAGTTTTATTTTTCAATGAGGTGTATCACTCAAAGTCTAATTTTTTATATTTAACCGTGAGCTCTTAATTCTTTATAGATTTTGATACTAAGTATAACATGAAAATAGCTTAAGTAAAACTGAACTAATCATTGCAAGGCCTATATAAGTTAGGCGTGGTCGGGTTGGAGGGGTTGGAGTCAGCATTAGCAGTAGACGTGTCTCGGGTGTGGTGTGAGTAGCATGGTGTGCAGGTTTGTGTATGTGTGTTGCAGCGTTTACCCGCAGTCCTGTCCCGGATAGGCCTAATATTGGCCACTCCACTGGTAAGACTTCAAACTCTCGCTTGATATTTGACTTTGCCTCTTATTTCTCTTTTGTTCCGATCGCTTTCTTGGCTGTCATGCATTTTGATTCTCTGGAAGCTTTCTTTGTTGCCTGCAGGTTTGATTGCTCGATAGAGACTGGTTCGAGGCTTGGTAGATTCCACAATTCTTACTGAGTAATTGTCAACAACGCTTTTTGAATAGAGGGACTGTGCTGATTCAGTTATTTTGAGTCTGTCAAAAAGGGCCAAAACCAATACTCATCATTACATACTGTCAAAAATCTCTTTTCTTTGAAATTTAAAAATATATCGAATCATATTTGGTAAACAATATTTTTAAATGTGTACCATAAAAATTGTACTTAAAGGTTTGGTAACCAATCATATACTGTATATTGTTTTCTTTTCATTACTTTCGTGATTGTTTAATCCATACAGAACATAATAAGCTATATTATACATTTAATGGTCATAACTAATTCAACTAACCTATAAACTAAAATGATACAACATGAAACATTCATTAGTTGATTTAAATTTATAAGGGTTCTTTATATTTCAAGGAATGAGTTTATTTAGTGCATCGCCAATAAAAATTACGTACAATTTATGTAACTATACCAAGTTTTGTCTTTCTCCTCAGCATTTTTTTTTACTAATAAACCATATAAATTACTTAATTTAATTATTTTCACACAATCATTATTTAACCACAGAAAAACATTATCTAAGTTAATAGTAAAAACTATGGTTTTGATGACTTTGTAATCATGTCAGTACCTATGTGAGTTGAGTTTAATTATTGTAATGGTACCTAACCAATAAAAAATACACGATCACTGTCTTTCTTTCTAGAATTCACTTTTGGCTTTGCGCAATACAATACATGCAGGCTTAGGGTTTGTGCAGTTGGGAGAAGTATCTTCTACAAAGAAGGAACAAAACTTATCACTTACTGGCTGGGGAAAGAAAATAAATATTAACATTTTCACTTGTATTGTACCACCACACATTGCTTTGCTTAATTCAATTCATATAATGAATCAATTTTTTTGTTCAAATCTTAATTCACACATATTCTATTCTATGACACATTTTAGATGGTTGAAAAAACTGATGAAGCTATTACTAAAATAAAAATACTTACAATAATGTCTATTGAAATCTCACTTCACCACCTACTGATTTTTGTTCAGGTTATCAGGAAACTGTGAACTTAAATAAATATTTAGGAGGAAAAATAATCCTAGTAACCGTTGATTTTTTATTATATTTAAAGTGTTCCTAACAGTGGCTATTTGGACTTCAAGAAACTTTCCCCTAAGGGAAATAGTTATGATTGAGAAGGAGAAGCACAGATAGGATTTGATTACACTCCTCAATAGTGCTAATTTGAATGTGCTCTTGGTAGAGGAATAGGCAATTGAGAAGAGAGGGAGTGCCAATAATCACTCTGTTGCCCTATTTAGACATAACTCTCACAAACATAAATACTAATCCATACAAGGCAGCAGAGTAAGCCAAAGCCCTCTTGGCTTTAAAAAATATGTTTCTCCGGGAGTTTACATAAACCTCAGTATAAAATGTTACTAAGATGACCAGTCTTTTATTTATATCCAAGAATTAGACTTTGAGTCATAACCTTTAAAATATATCTTGAAATATAACTAAATTCAGTAGAATGTACTTATAAGGGAAGATATAGTGCAATTTAGTAACCTAATAATTTATTGCTGAAATATATATTGACATTTTCAAAATGACCTAGCAGCAGAGGGATAGTTCTTACCAGAGTTACAATAATGAGATAAAAACTATGCATTTTAAATTTTGTTTTTGAAAATAATGTGCCCCTTTTAGACACGATTAGTAATGTAAAAAAGGTAAGTATGAGTAGTTACAATATGTTATACACTACGAGGAAGACAATGTAGTGGGTTTTCTTTCCTACTGTATGGTAATCCAAGATGTCACATGTATAAGAAGATATAATTACCGATGACCATCTGAGTACTGTGATAATATACACCTATTGGGTGTCAGCAGATTAGGATATTATAACAATCCACGGTTCTTAAGGTGGTTCCTCTATTTTTAGCAAATTTCCCATATAGGGAATAGCATATTACCGAAGGTCTCATAGAAAGACCTGGAGCCGGGACTCATTTATATATTCTTTTCGATGTTCACAAAGGCCAAAAACACCATCCGTTAAAATGCATATATATAATGTATATAATTGTCCTTTTGCGCGATAACTTGTCCGATATTGATGAAATTTGTTACAAACAAGTAAACATATATTACTGCAATTCTAACGAGTTTGCGAACCAGCATGATCTGACTATGGGATTAGTGTTTCATGGGGTGAAAATAATTTTTCTTATTTTTTACCTCAAAACATAAAATTTTGCAATTTATTTCTAAACCATTTTGTAGAGCTGAAATAAAACTGATAAATTTGTTTACTAAAGTATTATTTCATGTCTAACAGTTATAAATAAAATTCCTAAAACTGTAAACTAAAAATGTCCTTGTTATTTTTATGGAGAATAAATAGCTTTTGAAGTTTGCTCGTTTATGGATATATTTTGATCAAATTTGTCAAACCATTTTATACTAAGCCATTAACATTTCAATCAAAACACACTTTAATACCTTCCCTGTAGGAGCATAAATACTCATAGAACTTCATGTTATTTCAATACTGAATAAATCTGACATTTTTAAGGAAATATTTTACTGAAAATCCAAGTAGCCAATTGAAATTTCTCTTTATCTGAAGGTTTTCTGGGGCGGACAAACTTTTTCTTTTCTATCATGGTTACTAATTCATTCCATATTACTCAAAGAAAGTATTTTAATATTTGAATTAATATAGTTTTGATAAGGATAATCAATGACTTTATGGGTTTTCAGAAACCATCTGCTATGAATAAAAATGGCAATGAATATTTTTTTTATAATGATCTATAGTTTATCACGTACCAATATTTTTAAATCTCCTTGCTATTATTTTTATCCACTATTTTTATACATAATTTGTAACTGTTTGTAATCCCACAGTAGACACATAAAACAGTTTGTTATTTGGTCCATTTGTAGGGGCTTGCTGGTCATCTAATAAAATTGTATTTAAGAAGTAGAATAAATATTTAACTAAGAATAGATTAAGAATAAATTCTTTCTACATTATTTTTGATCATTATCTATAAAATGTTTGATTCAATTTGGTAATAAGATTTTGTGATAGTAATTTCTCATTGGTTCTATTTACTATATTATATTTTGTATTAGTATTAAATCAAAACTTGTATGATTTAACAGTAAAAAGAAACCATTATTTTCATCTTTCAATAATTATTTTGTTTACTTCCATTGTCTAATCATTGAACAATTTATGTTTAATGCTTGTTTTAAATGAGAATAATATAACACCATTTAAAAAAATACCCATACTTAATAAAACTAAACTATTATTTAATTGTGCAATTTCACCCATTCAGTGGATGAAGGCAAATGTAAAATGTCTTTGAAATATTACACGTTTTATAACACAATAATCAAGTCAGCAAATTTTAGTATTAAAAAAAATGATAATACTTCTATATTTGGCCTGTAAACATGTAAGTTACCAATATGCTTATGTATCATTTTGTTAACACTCTTAACCAAGAATATTTTGTAACTGAATTATAAATTGTTCACTTGAAAATGTTTAGCAGGTAAATGTAGGATCAGAGTTTTAGTAATAGATTGTATTTCTCTTTTAGTTGGATATCCATTAGGTTACACCTAACAGAATGTTTGCTCCTGTATAAAATTTTCACCATTAATTGTTTCACGATTACGTTTTGATCCTCATTTACTCATATGTGTTTATAATTGTGTTTTATGTTCTTAATTTTTCATTACATCAAAACAGATGAAATATTCTCTGCACCTCGTGGACCAACCATCGGTTATCAGTTGTTTTAAATGTTAATCTTTTTAATTTTATATTCGTCATAAATGTTTTAAATGTTTTAATGTTCTATGTTCAAACAACGTATATTCAAATAAATAATATAAATCTTTGTAACAAAATCTACTTTGTTGTAAATTGGAGTTGTGTTTTATGTTCTTATTTTTTCATTACATCAAAACAGATGAAAATATTCTCTGCACCTCGTGGACCAACCATCGGTTATGAGTTGTTTTGAATGATAATCTTTTTAATGTTATATTTGTCATAAATGTTTTAATGTCATATGTTCAATAACGCATATTCATAAATTTATAAATCTTTGTAACAGAATCTACTTTTATTTTAAATTGGCCTGTTTTTACGTTATTTTTGTTTTGCATGTATGGTGTTAATTATCCGTAATAATCACACAGTATTTTAAATTTATAAATTTTTATTACAGGGGTATTAACATGAAAAGGAGTTTTTTTTACAGTTGAAATATATTAGTACATGTATTAAATGGAAAAGTGATATTTTTATATAAAATATGCTCCATGGACATTGTTGCTCTATTGGTTCACGGCCACAGGCCGCCAACGGTTTATATCGTTGCAGGCCGCTCGAAGTGGCAACACAGTCAGTAGGGTTGTTTTGTTTGTACAGGCAGCTAATGAGGATTTGTGTACTTTTTACGAAAGCTTGGTTACCGTTATGTAAAAATATTCACTCCATTTTAAATGTACAGAAATATATTTTAAATTTATAATGTTTTATTTTAGAACATTATGTGTATTATTTTCAATCTGTCAATAAATTTAAATTCATCAATTTAAATTTAAATGAATAATACACGATTAAATAAGCTGGTGTCACCTGTCTGTTATGTTATCTTATGGGACGTCTAGCAGTACTACTTGCGACGTTGCCAATTCAACACATGCCGCGGCCTGGATTTAAAGGTGGCCGTGGTTAGCTCAAATATTTTATTAACTCTTTTGTATTATGTGTACCACACCTCAATTAGGTCAATTGCAGTTTTGAATAGAGAA